TTAGGAGCGGTAAAAATATTAAGACCAGGAATTCATCATACTTATAATAGAGATATTACGGTACTTTATTATATAGCAAAATTATTAATAAAATTATCTGGGAAGTTCCAAAGATTACAGCCAGTAGCTGTAATAGATGTGTTTAAGGTAGCTATGAGATTCGAACTGGATTTGCGGCTAGAGGCAGCAGCTGGTTCTGAGCTTGCAGATAATTTTCAAAATGATCAAGATCTCTATATCCCAAAAATTTATTGGCAGTTAACGCAGGAAAATATATTAACCACTGAGTGGATAGATGGTATTTCGATATATGATCAAAGTAGGCTTCTAGAGTGTAATATCGATACCAAAAAAGTAGCGCAAAAATTTGCTACTGTATTTTTTAATCAAGTATATAGAGATGGTTTTTTTCATGCAGATTTACATCCAGGTAATATTTTAGTTAAGCCGGATGGAACTATAGTATTATTAGACTTTGGTATTATGGGAAGATTAGCAGATAAAGATAGGTTAGCAATAGCTGAGAGTTTATTTGGCTTTTTTACCAAAAACTATAGATCAGTAGCGTTAGTTCACCTTCGTGCTGGCTATATCCCGCCTCATACTAATTTAGACCATTTCGCTCAGAAATGTAGAGCAGTTACTTCTCCTCTTGTGGATCAAGGCATTAATAATATTGCAATAGGTAGTTTGCTAGGGCAATTATTTAAAATAACTGAAGACTTTGGAATGGAAGTGCAGCCACAATTGTTATTATTACAAAAAACTATAGTAGTAGTAGAAGGAGTAGGGCAGCAGCTTGATCCAACAATTAATATATGGCAACTTATAGAGCCTTGGATTAAGAAATGGGCGATCGATGCTGCAGCAACGGGTATATTGTCAAAGTGAGTAAATAATTCATCAATATTTTCTGTAAAAGCATTCTGAAGAATTTGTCTTACTATTTTACTATCGAATGAAGGTAACTTATCTTGTAGTAACTGTAGATATTTGGCAATTTTCTCTCCTACTAAATCTGGCCTGGTAGAAAGAGTTTGCCCTAATTTTGTATAGATAGGCCCAAGCTCTTTCAAACAGTTTGCTAACCTCATGCCAAAATCTAGTAAGGGTTTTCTAAAGAGACTACTAGGACACATTACTATAGTTATAAGCCACCCTATAGCTTTTAACCGCCTTGGTAATTTTACGGCCCCAGGATAAATTAATATTTGCTGTTTACTTACTACATATAGTAAGCGCCACAAATTAAATAATAAACTCAACATATTAGACTATCACAGCTTTACTATAATTTATAACCACTATGAATAGCAGTAATGCCACATGTCAGATTTTTATATTCTACTCTACTAAAACCAGCATCCTTTAGCATAACAGAAAATTTATCCTGCTCAGGAAAATTACTAATACTTTCTACGAGATATCGGTATGCAGATTCGTTATCTGCAATCACCTTGCCAATTTTAGGAATAATATTAAATGAGTAAAATTCATATATTGGTTTGAACCACTCATTTTCTACTTTAGAAAATTCTAAACATAAAAATTTTCCCATAGGCTTCAAAACACGATAAGCTTCTTTTAAAGCTTGCTTAATGTTTGGTACATTGCGAATTCCAAAACTAATAGTATAATACTCAAAACTATTATCTGGGAAAGGCAATTGCTCTGCGTTGTGCGCTACATATTCTAACCCTTGTAGTATGTTACTATTGACTGCTTTTTCTCTAGCTATCTTTAGCATAGCTGGATTGATGTCACATAAAGTAATATGGCAAGTATTACCCCTTAAATCAGCACGCTTTTTTATCCTAAAAGCTATATCGCCTGTACCACTAGCAACATCTAATATGTTGGCTTGTAAATTAGCAATTTGCCTAACCAATTCATCTTTCCATAGGCGATGAAGCCCTAAACTCATTAGGTCATTCATCACATCATATTTATTAGCAACCTTCGAAAAAATT